TTTTGTACTTAAAATATTCTAAAAGAAACATAACAATATTGTTTTATGTACTTTCACTTTTCACGTATAGTATAACTACTCTTTAAGATTAAGTACTGTGTATCTCAAAAACCAGAGCTAATAAAAATTTTTCATTGTTATTTTCGTTTTTATCACCCCGAAATTAGTAGAAATTAACCAATTCAGTGTAGGAAACATTCAAAAAATATTTTTTTGTTGTGTTGTTATTGGAGTCCTTGGTGGAATGATGCCCTCTCTACTCAAAATCATACCGACTTGCGGTACTAAGGCAGAAATCTTAGCCTGACAGATGCAGAAGGCTGTCATTCTTGGCTCACTGCGCTTGCTCTGGGCAATTCTTGAACCCAATGATCACTTACCCCACGGTGTGGGGAGTGGTCATTGGTTGATAATGCTGGCGCGCCCTCCTGAATGTATCAGGGCTTCGGGGGATAGGGCCTGACCACCGCATACTTCGGCAAAAAAAATGTCTTCATTATTCTCAAATAAAAATATACAGAAAAAAATACTGATAACTATCCTAGATATTGATGAAAATAAAGAACGAAGTTTACTTTTGTTAAGTGTCAGACACCATATAAAATGACTATAGGTGATCAATATTTGAATTTTTTCACAAAAATCATGAAAATTTATTTTGAAGTTCTCATCTAGTGTATATTTTCAGTACCTCCGCTTCACCATATCCATATTTTTCAGGACTAGCTTCATGGATCCTTGCGCTGGCATCAGTCATACTCGGTATGTTCGCGGCTTACTCCCAGAGTCTCAAGAGCTTTTTGAAACCGGTGATCCTAAAGCTCATACACAACTTCCTCGGGATGGCGTCATTCGCTATAGGAATAGCAAGTCTCTGCTTGGGATTGTATTATAGGGACTTTGCTGGTCGCGTAACAACCATCGAGCGAGACACCACTCTGTGGTTAGTCGGAATTGTGTCAACTTGGAGTGTAGTGAATGCTATCGTATCACAGTTCAACCAGCTCAGATCGTTGTTGTCGTCCAATTGATTGATTTAATGGTGGAAATCGGTATGAAAAAGACAGTCTGAAGGGTTGATTTTGTTTCTTGTATGTTGGAGTTTTTGTTTTTTTGTTAGTTTTTGATGCTGTTAACGAAGAGTCGGTTATTGAAGAATTCATTTGGGAAACTTTTTTGATAAATGTATGAGTACTCAGTAGATGGCGTGAAAATTCCAAACTATATCGGAAACTGAATTACATTTTTGAGCAAGCGACTGACGAACATATTTTTCAAATGATCAATGAGTAACTTAAAACAATATTGATGCAATAATAAGGCTCCATTCCGAGTCATCAGTCATAAGGAGGATATTTCAATTTCTTCACCAATGATTTTTCACTCTTTCCGCTGGTAGTTAATTTTCAAAATTTTTTCTGCAACAATAAAATTAATTTCAAGATATTTGAAATCGAATACGGTTTCGATTAGTGAGTTTCACACCCTGTCTCTGTCTTTTTCAAAACCATCATCATGTATATCGAAATAAACACAACAATTTCTGAAATGCTGAAATCCAATAAATGATCTGAATGTATTCATTTGAATGTTGAAAACGTCTATTGATATCATTGATGATTTGATTGAATGATAAAATCAATTATATGAAATTATCAATATTTTTTCATATAATTTTATCTTGTGAGAATGAATATTTATGTGGAGAAGGTCTATTGATATTATTGATGATGTGATTAAATATTGAAATGAAACATCTTCTCATTGAAAATTATCAACTGGAGTCCAACAGTAGAGAAACAGTTCATGAAGTAGACATCTATTCAGATGAAAGATTCACTTTGTGTTTTCAAATTCTCCCTCAGCATTTTTCAATGCTGATAAAATAACATAGGAGTATCCACATAATATACGCTCTCTGTTGAAAAAAAAATAGGTGAATTTTCATTTTTATGAAAAACCATCCATTAATTACTGTTTTTCTTTTTCAAAATTGTACCCCTCAGATATAATAGACTCATGCCAGAGTTTTTTTCAATCTTCGAGTACAAAACTGTTAGGAATTTATATAGATGATAAACTGAATCATGAGGTATATATTGACTATCTTGCAAAAAAACTAGCAGATAAGTGTTATGCAATTCGAGTGTTGAGACGTCACTTGAAAATCGATCCACTGAAAACGGCATATTTTGGGACTGTTTATCCTCTGCCTGAAATATGGAATAATAGTATGGGGAGGGAGTACACAACTGGAACGTATTTTCATAATGCAGAAACGTATATTGAAAACAATGTTCTATATGAATTACACAGACACTTGTCATGGTACCTTCAAGAGTAACAAAATGCTTACTGTATATGCTATATATATTTATGTTTGTGTACTTTTTGTAAACGAGAACAAATCGAGTTTTGAAAATGACAAATATAGACATGAGTATTCCACCCGAAAAAAATCTAATTATATTGTTCCTAAACATAGATTTAAAAACACAGAGCATGGGCCGCATTACGCATCAATTAAATTGAACAACCATTCATTCTTAAAGCCATATTTTCAAGAATTCATGGACAAATAACCATTTTCAGTCTGTATAAAATTCAATCTTCCTAGTAACCTAGTATACGGCCGAATGCCTCGAACTGGAGACTAGCTACTGAGATAACAAGGCCAAATAGAATTAGGTGGGCTATAAGTAAATTCCAGCCATATGAATCTCCAGGAGAGGACGGAATATATCCCATCCTACTTCAAAAGGGGCAGGAATCACTGATTCCATAATTATGTAGAATATATAAGGCTTGCATAGCCATGAGATACATACCGAATGAGTGGCAAAAAGGCAGAATTATCAACATACCCAAGATAGGGAAGGTAAACGATATGACGCCCAAGTCATACCGACCAATTAGTCTAGTGACTTTCCTGCTCAAAACACTGGCAAGACTGAAAGATAGATACATGAGAGATGAGGTAATATCAATAAACCCCCTCAACGAACGCCAATATGCGTACCAGCCAGGTAAGTCAACAGATCTGGCATTAGATGATCTTAACAGGCTACTAACAAAATACTTAGAGGATAAGGAGATAGCCATGGCAACATTCATCGACATCGAGGGTGCCTTTAATAACGCATCTACAGAGTCTATCACCAAAGCTCTGGATAGAAAAGGGGTTCCAACCCTCCTGTATAAGTGGATAAATGCCATTCTGGAAACAAGGGTAATCATATCATCCATAGGCGAAACCACAGTCACAGCTAGAGCTGGCAAGGGGTATCCACAAGGAGGGGTATTATCGCCCCTACTGTGGGCTATCCTAGTGGACGAAATACTGATGAGGCTAAAATCCAAAGGTATGCATTGTTTAGGATATGCCGATGACTTCGCGATTATCGCAAGAGGCAAATTCGCAAGAACTGTTTCGGAGCACACACAAACGGCTCTAAACATCTCTCATGGCAGAAGGTTTCATTCTATTTTCTGAGCAGAACGTCTGGTCTCAGAGGCTTGAGAGAAAAAAGAAGTACTATATCCATGGAATACTACTAGCTGTCAGTACAATTTCTTTGAGTGTTGGGATTGGTCTCAAAATTGATGTAAAAAATCAACATTTTAAAAGTGACCACGCTATAACTGGTAAGTTGGTACTAAAGAGTAATAAATGATTGTGTCAGTTTTTTATTTGCTATCTGGAGATACA